CATATTACGGAAAAATGTCAATTTCCTTTAAATGTGCAGTTACCGCTTCTGCGCTTAGGACGGCAGTTTTGCCGCGGGTAAACTAGAAAAAACTGCTGACAGGTGCTGTCATACAGTTTTTCCACCTAGAAACCATTTGTAGTTCAAAATTGCGCGTTTGTGATTGGTGGAAATTAAGACGAGGGAAATAGTCGTAAGTAATATCATAAGGGCATTTAATTTTTTCGAAAAGAATCGAAAAAACACGTTGCTAAGTAATATTTTAACAAAAAGCATGAGTGCTGGTGGCAACAAAAATCCGAGTCGAAGAGGAGGATTTTTGCACCTGCACGAATGCATTTTGTTAAAAAATATTACTTAGCATTGTGTTTTTTCGATTTTTTTCACAGGAAAAATTAGATGCCCGAATGGTATTTGACAAGACTATTTCATGAGTAACAGTTAACGATTAAAATATAAATTGCAATTTTTGGTGACAACAGCTGTCAAGTTTTGCCGCGGGTAAACTCGAATAAACTGCTGACAGGTGCTGTCACACAGTTTTTTCACTTAGAAACCATTTGTAATTTAAAATTGCGCGTTTGTGATTGGTGGAAATTAAGACGAGGGAAATAGTCAGTGATAAAAATACTCTAAAGAAAAAAAAAACATTCTAAACAATATAATAACTACAACTGGTTTTTAGTGACATACTCTCTAAAAATGACTAGTTTTCAAAGTAAAAAAGCAGTCACTAATAACTTTAGTCCACAGCTATTTGTATCCCGGGCATTTAACAGCTTATTATTATGAAAAATTGTCCCCTGAATCCGAAAATACCGTCAAAAATTATAAAAGTAAAGCAGTTTTTAAGATATAGTCAATACCATATTATATGGAAAATTTACTAAATCTCAAAAACGTTCTACTTTTATAACTTTTGACGACATTTTCGGATTCAGCGGACAATTTTACATAGGAGTTGACTGCTAAATATCCGAGGTACAAATTACTATTGACAATAATTATTAGTCGCTGCTTTTTCGCTATTGCAATTAGACTAATTGAATTAGTAATTTTTGACTAATTCTATTTTAGAGAGTTACTACTGTTAAACTTTGCTACCGTCAACTGCAACTATCAAACAAATACTAAAGATAATATGACTATTTCTCTCCTTTTATTTTGATCCTCATATCAAAACAAAATAAGCAGCCAATATCAAAGCGGCAAAAGGCGCTTTATAGCGACCGAAAAAAAGAGCGGCCGACGCAAAAAAGGCAGAAGTATCATATGCAAGAAAGTTTATCGTTACAAAGTACTGATTGACTCTTTGATTTTGCGCCCCCGAAATGTTGCGCCTGCGTGCGTGCACGCACTGCACGCTCGCCAGGAACGGGCCTGATTACGGACATCCAAGCGGCCGTGACGAGGGTACTCGCGGACATCCCAGTCGAAGCGTTGCAGAAATGTTACGAAGCTTGGAAAACGCGCTGGAATCGTTGTATAGCTGCCCAAGGGGACTACTTTGAAGGGGATGGCAAAGTTGTAGGATAATTTTTAAATATACGGTTTTTATGGAATCAGTCTCATTACCTAATTGTCACACCTCGTATTCTAATATGAAATCTTTTTTTAGCAATATATTATTATTTATGTATAATACGTATACATAATAATGTATACATAATAATAATATATAATATATACTCAAAGTCTATAGTCTTATACATAATATGTAACATATTTTATAAGTTTTTGTTAGAGTGTTATAATATTGGCACGTCCGAAGCTTTATACAATATAGAAATATAAAATTGAATAATAAAATCAGTAATTTATATACCTAAATCCTGTAAACATATTAAAGCCCACATCCGACACATAATCTATGTTATCAGGAAATAAAACTGTTTATTTCTATACAAAGTATCAATTTATGGTTGGTTTCCGATTTTGTTTACTTAATTGTAATTAAATATGATTTATATTATTTTTTTTACTTCTCAGTAAAGTTTAGGATATTAAAACCAATTATTTAGGTACAGGGTGATCCCCTATAATGTCGCTCCCCTTTAACTTTTTTATTTTAAGTGTCCCAAAAAAATTAAAAGTGCGGTTAGACAATAGTTTCTGTTTTTTTGAAGCTACATCCAGAGATAATAGAAGCTGTAAACTCTATTAAATCAACCAATTCTACAGGTGTAGATGAAATTTCTGTTAAAGTTATTAAATAAATTATTGATATTATAGCGGAACCCCTGGCATATATACAGTGGCGTAGCTAGCCTCGAGGGGGCCCCGTATCAAAAATCTGGTAGGGGCCCTTATACGGGAAAAGCTGCGGACAAAAAAATTTCTGGGTGTCACGACCAAGGTCTATTTTGGGCAAACAAAAAAAAATTTTAGGGTATAATTTTTTTGCACTTGAAATTTTTTTATAATTTAATAAAAAATATATGTAGGTATGTATAGCTTTTTATGTACAGGCAAATGTCTGGTTTTAGACATTTACCGTTCTTCAACATCTTTTAAAAGGTTTCTATTTTAAAATAAAGTCATTTGAAATAATTGTAACGTATTATAATTATTTCTAATTTGCTATTAATATAACCTATGGTAATAACACGCAAAGCAGACTCAGTATACAGCTGTAGCGCAGAGCACAGGACAATATGCGCAGACTGCGCCGCAGACAACGCATAGCGGAAAGGTGCGGGCAGAAACAATTTGTATGAGTTCACGGCCAAAGATAATATCTTTGTTCACGGCCTCGTTGGAACAGGAGGGTATTCAGGAAAATTTTAATTTAATAAATTGAAGTATAAACAATTAAATAATAGGATTATTTATTTATTTAATTTCATGCCTCAATTTTTTTAACATGTGGGTAATATGTTTTTTGCTTAAGCATGTCGAAGCCATTCGGGGGCCCCCCCTTGCCGGAAGCCCCGTATCATCGATACGGCTGATACCGCGGTAGCTACGCCCCTGCATATATAACTAACCTCTCAATAAAAAGCTGCACATATCCAGATATTTTGAAGATTGCTTGTGTTACGCCAATCTTTAAAAAAGGAGACTCAATTTCAATGGATAATTATAGACCTATTTATATATAATTCAATTTCCAAAATAATTGAAAAAACTGTCTATGTTAAATGGTTTCATTTCTCAACATAAATGAAATCATCACAAGTTTGCAACATGGATTTCGTAAAAAATGTTCAACAGAAACAGCATTTTGTCAACTTATTAACTATATTTATGAAGAACTTGAAAAAGGTCAGCATGTTATGGGACTATTATTCGACTTAAGCCGTGCTTTCGAAGTGGTTAACACAGATTTTCTTTTAAATAAAATGCATCATATTAGTTTTATAGGTGACTTTTTCTGTTGGATGAAATCATATTTGAATGGACGTAAGTTCTGTGTTAAAATAAAAAACAAAGTCTCTGACAATATGGACAGTGAAATGGGAGTTCCTCAGGGCTTGGTGTTGGGACCACTATTATTTTCGCTTTTTGTTAATGATCTTCCGAACTTCATAAGTGGGACGATGTATGTAGATAAGGTGAGAAATCAATTTGCGAACTGGTGCTCTAAGAACAGACTTATACTTAATGAAGGTAAAACTGAATACGTCTATTTTTCCCCCCGTAAAAATAATATTAACTTAAACTTTAACTTGAATCTAAAATGATGTGTCAAATTTCTGGGAGTTTTCCTGGATGCTCAGTTTCGTTGGGATTCCCAACTTGGGAAGATCATATTGACTCTGTTTGCAAAAAAATCAGTAGTTCAATCTTTGCACTAAGATCACTCTCTCGTAATTTATCAAGGCAAGCTCTATTAAATACTTACTATGGTCTTATTTATCCTACTTTGTCTTATAACATAATACTATGGGGCAGAGCATCGACAATAAACCGAGTATTCGTACTACAAAAAGGACAATCAGAATTAATTTTAACCTTGACTCCATGGAATCATGTAAGGATGTATTTGTAAATTATAATATTCTTACAGTTTATGGTAAACTGTAAGAATATTAATAATATAATATATATATACTTAATCTAATAAAATATGTCCGTTTCAACTATTCCAAATTCCTATTTAACAACGATTATAACAAATATAAGACAAGAAATGCCTCATGCCTAAGTGTTCCGAGACACTCAACTACTCTGTATGATAAATCGCCTTATTACTCTGGAATAAAAGCCTACAATAGCTTACCATGTAAAATAAAAACAATTACAAATCCTAACAAATTTAATAAAGAACTAAAACAGTTTTTAATAACTAAATGTCCATACGGGCCTGGCGATTTATTTGAATTTATTATTTATTTATTTGTTTTTTTTTCTGATTTTTTGAATGTTTCTATACGTTTAATTTTGTTTTGTACAATCTTGTGCTTTTTTTAATGTTTATACATTATGTGTTGGACCTGTACTATAAATACTATTATATTTCGTTTGACTCAATAAAGATTATTATTATTATTATTTTAGTAATTTATTTTCAATAAAATTTTTGGTGTACTGTGGCTTCTTGATTTCTAACAGTAAAGAAACATTTAATGATAACATTTCGAATGCGAATATTTCAGAAACGGTGGAATTTAGGTATATGGTTTGTTTTATGAATTATGCTCAGAATTTTACAAGAAATCGAAAAATAAATTCATATATAGGGTGATCCATTGAAAAAAAGTATTTTTTAGTACCTACATAACCACATTTTTAAATTTTTTGGGACACTTAAAATAAAAAAGTTAAAGGGAGGCGACATTATAGGGGATCACCCTGTACCTACTTTAAATGTATGTTAAAAAAATAATTCTGACTTCTTAATATTTCAAAAATATCAACCTTAATACGTTGACTGTCCCCATCAGGATTTTTTTCGACACTCCTACGTCTCATTTTTTTGTTATAAATCACATATATCTCATGAACGTATAGGGAAAATATTTAATAATTTAATGTGTCCCTACAGTTCGATTCTACCTCTAAGTAACATCATCTTTATTTTTATTAACTACTTGAATTATTCTTGGCAAAGTATTTACTAGATCCTGACACTTCTCTGGAGTGAAATTATCTTTTGAGCCTTTGCTTGAGTTCTGGCACAGTGCTAAGAGGATTGGCTCGCAACCCCTTTTGATCACATACCATGTCTTAATAGGCGAAAGCACTACTAGAAAAGTATGAAATGCAGCACCGTTTTGTTGTAAGGTAAAGTAATTTTCAGAAATCCTGCTCTCTTTCAAAGTAGGCAACAACCTCAAGATGAAAGTTTAGCGCTTGAGAAAATAATGATAATGTTTTTGGCGAATAACTCTGTCCCTCCAATGGACACTATTCCACCTCTTCAATAAAAAATCTTCATAACACAATTTTAATAGTAAGTATTTAGCCTATTTCAACCTATATTGCTTCTAATTAAATCCTGATTTATATATTGCCTTCATTTCTTTCTCCAGGCCACTTGCCCGTACGATTTTTTGGGCAATTAGAACCACTCATAAAACAACAAATAATTCAAGATCAATTAAGTCCAGAAGAAAAGTTTACATTTATAATTTAGTAAGATAATATAAATTTTATATTATTAACTTTATTATTGTTTTAGCCACAATCCACACAACAAGGTCTGTTCTTTACCCAGACCGCAAAATCACATTCCCTGCACATGCCAGGAATATTCCCAGGAATATTCCAATCGTCCCAGAATATTCCCAGGAATATTCCTGGCATAATCAAATGTCCGCTTTTTGATTAACCCAGGCATCATAAAAAGAATATTCCATATATCTGCCTGCAGAAGACTCAAGGATTGTTAGGGGAATATTCCTTGATACAATTTGGGGATTATTCCCCGCCCTTATTGCCTCTTATACCCAGGAACTTAACTATAGCCATTATTGAGTTACTGAGTAAGTAGATCAGTCCCACTCTAATCATTGTTTAGCTGTGCCATCACAGACGCACATCTCCAACTGATATTATTAACCTATCGGTATATATAGTTATCAAGCGTGCGTAAGCAACGGTGAGAGGTATTGCAACTAAACTAATGAATATTCACTGGGAATGTTCCTGGATGATGCTTGGAAGTTTTAGAGGATCATTCTAGGAATATTCCCAATGAATATTCCTAGAATGAAGCGGAATATTCCTAGGCGATAGGGAATATTCCTGGAATATTTTCGAACCTTCATTGCAGTCTGGGTAGCAGTTCGCGCAGACTGAAAATCACAAAATACTTGCCGCCATATTGTTTGTTTACGTTTTAAGCGGGTAGATTTTGATTTGGTTTAATTGTGTGCAGTGATGCCAGATATACGGATTTTTCCGTATTCTACGGAATTTCGAGTGTATTGGGAAAATATACGGATTTTTATACGGATTTTGGGGGCAATACGGATTTTATACGGATTTATAACAAATCCAAATTTTATACCTAAATTATCGCCAACTCTGTAGTTAAAGCCTTTCGTTCTTTGGGGTGATTTTTCCCAAAATATTTTTAGGTTAAAAATCTTTTTTTTCCGGTTTTACTTATCCACAAGACTGAACTAAATCTGTAAATTAATTAATTAATTTGAGTACTGCATTTCATTCTCTAAAATTTGAAACTATTTAACTGGAGTATGAACAAATAGAAGAAAAAAAAAATATTTCTTAACTTCGGCTCGTGTGACAAACTTTTCACTTGAGCGGAATATGCAATTCCAAACGTGTACCATAAAAAAATAATTTAATTAGCAGAAAGTGAAGTTTGATTTATCTAAAATTTGTTAGATAGGTATTAAACACAGAGATGTGCCACCAGTGTTTATTCCGTCATCCGATAGAATAATTTATTCTGTTAACTCTAAGGAATATATGTCATTCCACATTAAAAAGTGATATTAGAACGGTTATATTCCATATACCTAATAGGAGTAGAAAAAAATAATTAAAAGAATTGCCTTCTTGCTCAAGACTTAAAAATTAAATTAAACCACGTTTTTTATTCTAAAAAATAAATCATCAACATGGAAATTAAATTTCCCCTAAATTAGTCTAATTATTGATAAAAAGAATTACGTAACAAGTGTAAAATACAAAATACGGAATTATACGGATTTTTTTCCTTAATCCCCACCATACTACTAGGTCAAATACGGATATTCAGCGCTAAAGATCGGGCATCACTGCTTATATGCCTTAATACAGACTTATAAACGTTGTTAGGTGTTTGAACCAGTTATTTAGTTGTTTATTTGTGTTTTGACTGTACTAGTGTACCTTTTTGAACCTCAATTGTGCAAATCTTGTGTTTAACCAGTAAGTAAATTGTAATTCTAAAATATTAGGACGTTTTTTATAACTCTTGGTATAAAAAGTAAAAAAAAAGGGCAAGTAAAAATCTTAAAAAAGTTTAAATTAACTGGTAAAATACATAAATATATATTTTTAATTTTGACAGATTAGAGGTTATAATTTGTTCCATAATTTGTTTCTAAAATAAACCATATAGTTCTATATAGAACCTATGAACAAACAAACTATAATATAATAATAATAATATAATAACTATAATTTCGGGGAATTTAAACTACGATAACGGCCGGTATCAAACTTCTATTTCGGGGATTTTAAAATACCCGCGACAAGATGGCGGCAAGTGTTTGATGACGTAGGTGCGCACAACTGCACCGATTTTGGTTTAAATTTTTAAGCTAAAGAACAGACCTTGTTGTGTGGATTGTGGTTTTAGCTATTTATCACAGGTATTATTTGGATATACAAGTGTCTCGAGTGGAATATGTTATTGTTACCTTTGACCTATTTGACTGGTATTTTTATTTAGAGGTATCCACTTTATTTTATAATATAAGCTAATAATATATAAGAAAAAATTGAACCTACACCTCGCGAAAGTTTTTTGTTTTGAGTGCGTTCCACCAACTTCAAATACCGACAGACAGCTGTTTCGACCTATATTGGGTTTCATCAGTGTCGGGCAACTTGGTTTAGTGGAACAACTTTGGCGAGGTTTAGGTTAAATTTTTTCTTATGAATAATACCAGTAATGGGTCAAGAAAGTTTCTTAAAGAAACTAAGAAAATTGAATGTTTACCCTAATAATATATATTAAATATTGATTTTAACTTCAACTTTAAGAATGTTATACCAACATTTAGGTGCCTTTGAATTAGTTCTATGCTTAAGGAGTAGGTAGTTAAATTTTGTAAGATTGAATAGGTAGGTATTAATTAAAAAAAAAAACTACATAAATAATAACAGCTGTCATGAATTATAATTAAGAACTCGTAAACACCAAAATTAAAGTATATTTACCTACCATTTTTTAATATATAAAGCTTAACAAATTTATTTAGACTAAATATGTGCCTACCTAGGTAAAAAGTACCTTTTCTCAATAATAATACGTATTATATTAAAAATTTAGACTTTTGAGCAGCTAAACCGTTTGACTTATATAATATATATACAACTTTATTTCGAACACTTTATCTGGATAAGCCGAGACATTCATTTTTCAGATTTGTGTAAATTAATTATAGTTAATCGAATTTTTTCAGCAATTGCCTTTTCTTTGCCCATTATTGACAATAAATTAACTGTTTGACAATCGAAACATATCACTGTTATTTCGGAAAAAAAGCGTTGCTTTCATAGTCACCTTAATAATTGTCTTTCTCAGTACTTAGCTAATTAAATGCTGAAACCAGATCTTGAATCCAGATCTCTCTTGGTTACGAAATTTCTCCTATAGTTCTCTAAATATCATATTTTGTCAGATATAACAATGTAAGGGCCAGTTTCGCTTCTTGAGCGATATAATATATTATGCCAACAACACTACAAATATTGTGTGTGGGCCAACTGGTCAGATGGACGGGACTCGTATATGATTTAAAAAATACGTGACACAAAACTTATATTATTTTGCTTTAAAGGGTATTTTTAAGATGATTTAAGACGATTACACTGTGCAAGTGAGAAATCACATGGACATCAGTGGCGTAGCTAGCCTCGAGAGGGCCCCGTATCGAAATTCTGGTAGGGGCTCTTATAAGGGAAAAGCTGTTGGCAAAAAAATTTCTGGGTGTCACGCTCAAAGTCTATTTGGGGCAAAGAAAAACATTTTTTGGGGTATAATTTTTTTGCATTTACCAATTTTTTATAATTTATTAAATAATATATGTATACATAGCTTTTTATGTACAGGCAAATTTTAAAATTTGGTCTGGTTTTTAGACATTTACCGTTCTTCAACATCTTTTAAAAGGTTTATATTTTAAAATAAAGGCAAGTCATTTGAAATTATTGTAACGCTAATAATTATTTCTAATTTGCTATTAATATAACCTACGATAATAACACGCAAAGCAGATTCAGTATGCGGCGCGCCGCATACTGAATCTGCTTTGCGTGTTCTGTGCTCTGCGCCGCGGCACAGCATAGACATGTATTGAATGACGCCACGTTTGAATACAGTTTTCTAAATCTCGCCACGTTATAGATTTGTATTCGTCAGTCGAGCATTTTAATACTCTCTACAGTATAGAGGTCGTATTAATATGAAAATTATTTTATGCTTGAAAAAAAAATTATATACGACATGAATGTGATTTTTTTCATTTTATTAATTAATTAAGATGTGTTGAATATTTTTCCTTTAGGAATAATTGCCAATGAGCCATTAATTCATTTGTTCGTAGATGCTACAATAACATGCACTGGTGTATACTTTTTGATTCAGACAAAGGAACCAAAGAAAGGAACTGTTATTAACAAAATCATATGCAGAAATAAGAATAATAAAAAACTTGCATCCATCAAAAGATCAAAACTTCTTGCAATATTGAATTACACCTTTTTATGCTCTCAAAAATGACTAGAATAGTAGACTCCAGTTTCTTTAACTTGGTAGAGTAAAGAGAAGTCAAAACCGTTGCGATATTGCATTGCGCTATTTTTTAATTTTTGGGGACAAATCATTGCCAGTAAAATTCGAAATGCTTGAGTTTCTATATGTCTTTCAAGAGAATAAGAATCCGATGTTGCTGCACCATTGGACTGCCACCTTTTTCAATAATTACAATAGACATAAATGACTGCGCCATTCGACAGGGTCGAGTTTCTACCTATCTGTTGAATATAGAAAATCAAAATAATGTATCTTGTAAGACACCATTGAGTTTGACTTTAACTAAAGTGGTGCATAGGTGTAGAGGCGAAAAAGATTAAAACAAAGCACGATTCAATACAGTTCTAATAAAACTAAGATTTAGTATTCAAACGGGGAGTCATCCAATGCACTTCTATATTTTTTCGTTTGCTGTGAATATGCGCAGACTGCGCTGCAGGCAACGCATAGCGGAAAGGTGCGGGCAGAAGCAATTCTTATGAGTTCACGGCCTCGTTGGAACAGGAGGGTATTCGGGAAAATTTTAGTTTAACCCTGGAGTAGGCGACTGGGTGACATGTGTCACCCAGATGTTTTCAAAGTAAGTTATTTTTAAAACCTTAGCACGTGGCATCTTAGGATTATCAGTACCTGCTCTAAACACATTAAGCTTTATTTTCAGTACATTGGCGAATTTTGTTTTGAACGGTTGGGTAATAAATAAATTGTTATTTAAAGTGGTTGACACGTGTCACCCACTCGACTAAACTGGTAAGTCTTATTTTTTAAATTTTATTTATATTGTTTTTAATTTCTTAAATTATTACTTGTATAGCAATTGTGTTAAATGAAATAATTGTTATTTTATAGGTTTATAAAGATGGCGGAACCAAAAAAACGCAAAATTGAAACAAGTACGGATCCTAATGTTTGGATGAAATGGTTTGAGGAGTGCGAATCAAACAGTGAAGAGAATGATGAGAGTGAAGATGAAGAAATTGATCATGTTCAACAAAGTGATCACGATTCTGTGTCTGCGCAAGAAATAAGTGACAATGAAAGTTTACAGAGTGATGTAGAGGAGGAAAATTCTGAAATAAGTGATTTTTTTGTGGGAAAAGACGGTATTACCCAATGGGCAAAGAAAACGCCAAACTTGCATAGAAGAACTCGTGCTCATAATTTCGTAATACATCCACCTGGTCCAAAGGCTGAGGCTAGGGGTAAAACATCTGCCATCGAAATTTTGGATTTATTTCTTGATGTACATATTATAGACACTATTGTTACACCAACAAATATTTATATTGAAAATATCAAACATAAATTTGGACGAGAGTCGGACGCAAAGCCGACAAATGCTATAGAAATCAGGGCTCTTATTGGGCTACTATTCTTGATCGGGTCATTTCGTAGCTCAAGAAAAAATATACATACATGTTGGGACAACAGTAGAGGAAATGGACTCGAATCATGCTATCTCACAATGAGCGAAAAACGGTTTCGCTTTTTACTGAGATGTTTACGCTTTGACAATGTTAGAGACAGACCAATTCGAAAAGAAACGGACAAATTGGCACCGATTCGAGATTTGCATGAAAAAATGTGCAAAAATTTTCAGAAACTTTACACACTCAGCGAATACGTTACAATCGATGAGCAACTACTTGCATTTCGGGGGCGATGTTCCTTTCGCCAGTATATTCCAAGTAAACCTGCAAAATATGGCATAAAAGTATTTGCAGTAGTCGATGTAAAGATGGCATACACTATAAACCTTGAAGTGTATGTAGGCACACAACCTGATGGTCCTTACAATAAAAGCAATAAGCCAGAGGATATAGTTTTACGAATGATTGAACCAATTGAAGGTACCAATAGAAATCTAACTGGAGATAACTGGTTTTCAAGTATACCCCTAGCTGATAAGCTTCTAAAAGAGAAGAAAACTACTTACGTGGGAACACTTCGTAAAAATAAGAAGGAATTACCTAAAGAATTTTTGCCAGACAAGAATAGGGAAGCTTACTCTTCATTGTTCGGGTTTCAAAATAATACCACGCTTGTTTCCTACTGCCCCAAAAAAATGAAATCAGTTATATTGATTTCAACAATGCACCACGATAATGCTATCGATAAATCGACGGCAGATAAAAAAAAACCGGAAATTATAACTTCCTACAATCAAACAAAAGTTGGTGTAGATCTTGTAGACCAATTATGTCAGAGGTCAAATATAGCCAGAACCACACGACGTTGGCCTATGGTATTATTTTATAATTTGATAAATATTGTAGGCATAAATGCATTATGCATTTATAAGTGCAACAACCCTTCAAATTCAATAAAGAGGAATACATTTTTGGAAAACATTGCCTGGGAGTTGATAAGACCTCAAATATCAAGAAGATCGGAAAATAATATTGTAAGGGTGGAAATCAGACGAAGAGCGAAATTACTTCTAGGAATACCACAAATGCAAGAAAACATTTCAGAGCGAACAGGAAATAGAGGACGTTGTCAGGAATGTGGACGAATCAGGGACAAGACAACGCGAAGATTTTGTGTAAAATGTGGACAGTGGATGTGCGGAGAGCATTTGAAAGACGTTTGTGTCAGGTGCTACGAATAAAAATTAAATATAAATTCAGCTCTTAAAAATATTTAATGTTATTTTTTATAAATTTCAATGTTTTTTCTAGACTTTAATAGTTTAAATACCTTTATTATTATAAAAACTTTGTATTAAGTGAATTAAGTTCTTAAAATATATTTTATGTGTTTTTTTAATTTTAATAGTAAAAATATGTTTTTTATTAATAAAACTTTATATTAAATAAATTTTTTTAAAGCCCCAACTGTCCAAATATGCTTAAAACGGCTGGGTGACAATTGTCACCCACTCGCCCGTTCGTGTTTGTTAATACCACTCGCCTACTCCAGGGTTAATAAATCGAATTTTAAACAATTAAATAATAATATTATTTATTTATTTAATTTCATGCCTCAATTTTTTTAACATATAGGTAATACGTTTTTTGTTAACGCATGCAGAAGCCTCTAGCCGGGGGCCCCGTATCATTGATACGGCTGATACAGCGGTAGCTACGTAGCGTACGCTCCTGATGGACATACTCGTTTTGTAAAGTTTGCTAATTTAATTTTTGCATGTTTTCTTATTTTAAGAGCTATATTTTATATTACTTGGGGCTAAAATAAAATTCGAGGTTTATTTCTAACACATAGGTAATAAACGTAATACCTAGTGATACCTAAATATTAAAAAACAACAATTTAAAAATGTATTTAAACACATTTTAATGTAAGCCGTCACAATCAACTTAGGACAAAATATTAATATTAAAAAAATGTCAAAAAATTAGTTTACTTTACAAAATGAGTATAACCGCGTGATTGCTTACCTATAACAAAATTAAGTGGAGGAGCGCCATTGAATAGGAAAACAGAAAGTTTTAAAAACTACCACAATGTTATTAGCAATTTGGAATAATTTTTTTTTCAAATATTTACCTGTGAAAGCATTACAAAACGGTCTTTTTTTCGGGTCTAGAATTTTTTCTCTTGTGTTGTAAGGAGCGACCTAAAATGAAAATATATTTAATTATAATGCAAATAATAATTGATTTAGGTATGAGGTGAGATAATATTTTTTAAGCGCTTACCATTTTAGGAAGATAAGCAGCAAAGGTTACTTCAAGTATCATCGCAACTCCACATATAAACCAAATTGTTAGATTTTTCATGTCTTTCTAAAAATAATATTAAGTTTCATTGTCATTAGTGATGTGACATTTATCCGGAATACGAATTTTAAAATAAAAAAAAAGGCTTTTACAGTTCTGTTATTTTCTAAGTTATTTATATCATTATGATGAGAAGATAGTCTTCTTGTGCTGAGCTTGAAGGCCGACGCTTAGCGCAGGCATACAATTGAGCGAAGCACAAAAATACACTTCTGGGCCGAATGGCATACAATATTTTATTCGCAATAATTTTATTCTTTAACAATAATTATAATATTAATTATAAAAAGTAGAAAGTGAGTTTAGGTAGAAATGACAAATATTTTTATTTTTTTTTACAGCCTAGGTGATGAAAAGCTTTACCCAATTGGTCATAAATATTTTTATTTTTAACTTGTTATTTTCTCGCCTTGGATATATCCATATCGATACGAGATAAGTAAGAGCATCTATAACAAGCGATGAGTAATGAGAGGGCGTAATGCATTCATGCCCTCAGAAAATAACATTGTTTTGTTTCAGTTTCATGTGAATTAAAAAATAAAATCTTGTATGAACCACTGGTGTTACTACATGATAACGCACATACTTCCACACATAAGACATTCTTTTACAAATCGTACACCTATTTTGACATCAGGGTTTGGATTCGCATGAAATTTTTTTTACCGCTTCTATTCAGTAAATAAGCAGATACGTGTATCAGGTTTTCTGTAAAAAAATTGTTTTTTCAGAGATATGTTGATATAAAGTTTTTATGAATTGCGATAAAACGATAAATTCTCTTCTACATAAAACCCATTATCTCCGGTTCTACTGATCGGATCGATTTTGTTTTTTTTTTGTTTTAAACCTTATTGAATAGGCTTTTCAAATAAATAAATTAAAATTTTTTTTTTTTTAAGTATAGGGAGTTAATAACAGATTAATTTTTTAAACTAGTTTTTCATGTTTGCCCCCTCTATAAAATAAAATGAAAAAAATACTATTTTATGCGCTTTTTCTTTCAGAACAGTGGAGACTCTTTTGGATCGGAAGATATTAAACATTTTCGAGCGCGTGACAGGACTGTCAAACGCGTAATATTCAAACGTATTAGTGCATGTGGCGGGTGACGTGATATTTTGTATAAGAGTGCCATGATTCGACATCTTTTAATTGGTGACTTATTTGTGCAAATGTCAATTCTGCCAGTTAATAAATTTACTCATTAATTGAAGTTTGTATTATTTAAAATTTAATTTATTTAAAATTATTGAAAACCTTTAAAATCAGAATTAATTTACAAAAAGCGCTGGTATTTTTTTAAAACGATGTATGAGTTTACACTATCCTAAATAGTGATGCCGCGAGACGAGACGAGACGAGAAAAGTCCTTCTCTCGTCTCGTCTCGTGCAACGAGAGAAAATGGGTCTCTCGTCTCGTCGAGAATACTCTTTTCTCGCTCGAGAGTGCCTTTCTCTCGTCTCGTCTCGTTTCTCTCGTGGTAAAAGTACCTATGTATGAATACAAAAATTATTTGCAATTAAATACGAATTCGTTTATATTTTTTCTATATAAATTTAAACTGGAAATAAAAAAAAATTGTGCCAAGACCACACTGATAAAGTAAGACTTTTACGCCGAAAATGTCGCACATTTGAATGAAATGGTTGGATCTATGTGGAGTAGTTACATATATAGATGTAACTGTAACACTGAGAAAACAGTTTATTGCTCCCAAATAAAAAAAATATTTAAATATGGGACAGTATATTTATCCTAAATATATTTTTATTCCCGACACATAAAGTTTTACTAAAGTATATTTATCGTTATTATTTCGACTATTTAGAGGTAATAAACAATATATTCACTATTAATAAAAGGGTTAGCTACACAGTTTATTTGTCCCATTTTTTTTCTCAGTGTAGTATATAGGCGCAGTAGTTTTCAGATGGATGGATCAAATCATCCATCCATCTGAAAACTACTGCGTCTATATGATGTAACTACTCCACATAGATCCAACCATCTTGTACCTACTGCGCATGTTCGTCATTTTGAATCCGCAATTTTGTTTTTTGAATGGATATCAAATTCTTAATCAGGGACCCCATAAATATCTAAATACTAAATTTTACCAAAACCATTAAAGCCGAACGACAAATTTTCGTCATATTGGATCAGCCATTTTATTTTTTGAAGAAATGGATATCAAATTTTTAATCAGCCCCTCAAAAACCACATGTTGTTGATAAGTTCATTGAATAAGCAATGCTTATTAAGCACGGGTTGTTTAATAGTATAAGGAGTGCCATAAATGTGCTTATACAGGGTAAATTTTAAAAATTAATATTATTTTATAAGTAATTTTTTTCTTGGTTACCTTAAGTTGTGTTATAAAATAATAAAACGTTATACAGGAACAAATTTTGTTTATTATGAAATGCGAATAATGTTCTCATTGGTCCAAATAAATATCGCAAAATTAAAATTTTTATGTAAAAAAATTGTTTACTTATTACCGGAATAATCGAGAGAACGAGAGAGATCGAGAGAAACGAGAAATTCTCGAGCGAGAGAGGGCTTTCTCTCGTCTCGTCTCGAGCCTTTTTTCGAGTGAAAATCTCCCTCTCGTCTCGTCGAGACGAGACGAGAGGCGAGAATCTCTCGTATCGGCGGCATCACTGATCCTAAATGTGTTAGCGTTTCGAAGATGTCTGATTAGGGGGTGTCCATTAATTACGTGAGTCAATTTTAGCGATTTTTTAACCCCCTCCCCCCTTGCTGAGATGTTGTGAGATTTGGCTCAACCCCCTCCCCCTAATCTCACGTGAGATTTTAAAAAATGCTTATTTTTAATGTTTATACGTTAAACTGCTTGATTCTGTTGGATTTATTAAAAAAACATACTTTGTTAAAAATTACGTGATATTTGCCGAGACCCCCCCTCTCCCTTACGTGAGAATTGATGAGATTTGGCTTGACCCCCTCCCTCCCCTAAACGCCTCACGTAATTAATGGATGCCCCCTTACGGCTTGTACCGGTCACGCGCTCGAAAATATTTAATATCTTCCGATCCAAAAAAGTCTCCATTTTTCTGAAAAATTCATTTTGTAGAGTAATAAATAGTGCATAGAACAGTATTTTTTTAATTTTTTTTCATAGAGGGGGCAAACACAAAAAATCTTTTTCATATAATAAACAAAACACAAACTTTTTAAATATTTATCGAAAAAGACTATGTAATATGGTTTAAAATAAAAAAAAAATGAAATCGATCCGATCAGTAGAACCGGAGATAATGAATTTTAAGTACAAAAGAATTCAGCATTTTTTCAAATTTTATCAAAAGTTTAAATCAATATATCTTTGGAAAAATAAATTTTCTGCAAAAATTCCGATATAGGGGTCGGCTAAATTTATGAAAAGATGCTGTAAAAAAAAATTAAGTCATTTTAAAAATTTGAAAAAATATGTTTTCTGTAATCCGTACGATATGTAAAAGAATGTCTATGTATATAAAAATCATTTCTAACTGAGATTGTTTCCATTTCGTGGGGTTAAAGTAGGGGAAATGTTCTCACACGGTTGCGGGCATTGAGGAGCATGCGTCAGCTGCATTGCCGGTTTTAAAAAAAATAACATATTTTTGTCCCTATTTAAGAAGTATAATAAATACTTTTTAATAAATTGTATGAAAAAAAGCATTAAACAATAATAAACTCACAATTTTTTTAATGGCATAGGTATTTATAAAAACAAGAATTTGGCAACATCGTATTTTGTTTAAGATTACCCTGGCGAAAATGAAATGTGCAAAAAGTGTGCAAAATTATTTGAGAACAATGTGCCAACAATGTGCAATCTTTTAAAAAAAAATGATGTGCGGAGGGTGGGAAATGGAACATGAAACAATGTGCAAAACCAAAAATTTAAAAGTGTGAATAATCACTGGACAATGTTCTAAAGGTAACTCCTTTTGATTTTTCACATTGTTAAGTTTTTTGCCACCTGTGTGCCTATTACAAAAACAATATCCTTATAATAATATTAATCAAATAAAATTTCTTTTCAAAAAAATTTAAAAAAATACCCACAATGTAGGTCCTACTTAGTGTTGGGATCGCTCGAGTGAAAAACCGCTCGAGTACTCGATTATTGAAATAACCGACATCACTCGATTATTGAAACGACTACTCGAGTTATAAATTCAAGCGAAAATCTTGCACCGAATTAGGTATATTTCTGTAATTTATATTTTATAATAAAAATTTTATTTGGTTGAAATTGCACTTTAGTTTAAAAAGCTAGATTTTTTGTCAATTATGTTTACAATTATTAAAAAGTAAATCGGCGATATCCATCGCTTGTCTCTTGTTTTATTAACGAGCCGCGAATCACATGACACCTAAACGTAAGTGAAAAATTGCTCGGATTATTGCGAGTGATGCAAGCTGCAAGCGATCTACCCAAGTATGAATGCATTCATTAATTGAATTGAAATTTCGAGTGATAAATCGCTCGGGCGATCGCTCGATTATTGAAATCGCTCGAGTATCGAGTACTCGATTATTAAAAATTATCGGTTTTTCCCAACACTAGTCCTACTGACTCCTACATACTGTATTTTATTAAGAAAAATACCTGCACTGTCAACTCCACGAAGGGGATTGCTTTGATCTTAGCAATAGGCCGAGAAGCGATACATAAGATCAAATCAAATCAAATTTATTTGCCATTTCATTTTTGTTATTTACTTACTGCGGTATGTACCGGATTTGACTTTTGGGGGATTGTTCCTTTTGTGGTTCCATTTCTGCTCCACATTTCTTTTATTTTTACGCATGTCGTTTGTTTTTTGTTGTCCTTATTTTCTTTGCTGCCTTTTTCTCGGCTAGAGGCTTCTGACTTTTATGTGTGTTTAATTGGGGGAGGGGTTAGAGCCTTAAGGCTCATGATTGAATATATTGTCGTTGATTAATTTATGTTTGACTCTGAATGGGACGTTATTTTTGTTCA